AAAACTGTAGGCACCAACCCATGTCCTCTGGGATTCTATGTATCAGAAAAACTACTAAGACATATTTCCATCTTTTTACTTCCATGCTTCATGGGAGACTGCTGACTAGGCTTCATCCCTTCCCTTGGCAGTTTAAGAGGAGCAAAGGAAAAGAAAAGTACAATCTAGGAAAAGTTTGACACACACTTAGAGGGATGTTAAATGCAAAATAAATGCCCAAACTTAAAATATTTTGCTGAGGAATAAAATAGTTATGGTGACAACCTGTTGCAATAAACCATGATGAAGAAACGAGAGGAGGCCCTGTAGTGGACAAGAATAAAGAGCGCAGGCAGAAGCAAGGGCAGCCTCTCACATCTCCCTGCAGGCACACGCATATGGTAGATTTGCAGACAATTGGAAAATAAAGTGAGTCAGACTCGTGCATGTTCTGAAGACTCATGCTACAGGATGAAGCTAATAAGCTGTGTGTTCTCTGCTCCGTTCTGAAACTAAAACTAGAGCTCAAGACATCCTGTAACTGTCAGAAAGACATTCTGGAAAGCTATGTGTGACTCGGATGCTATTTCCCAGAAGGAAGCTATTCGATCTACAAGCATGTAGGGACAGTATGCTACATGGAAACAGTCATCCTATGGGGTGAAGCCCATGAGTAAGACATGACCACTCTTCTCAAGAAGTTCACTCCGCAGGAGAAAGTGACTCACAGGAGAGCCTGACTCAGGACACGGAGGAGTCTAATTTGCCAGGATCAAAAGCTTGACTCACATCACAGCTCTATGCTTTCTCTCCAGAAGTGTAAAGTATTTCCATAATTTATGCAGTTTCCATAAATCTGGGATATGCTTTGGATGTCTAATTTATGTCTGACTTACATAAATTCATATATAAATGAATGTGTGGGTATACATCAAATATTATGTATATCTTTTGCATACGCCATTGTGCAGTTGAAAATAACTGGACCTAAGATGGGTTATAAATAAGGTCCTTGGGTGGTAATTTTATGCATTTCAAGTTTTCCACTTATCATTTTAAAGTTTAAGAGATTTATCTCTCTGAAAATAATAGAAAAAACATTGTTACACATGTACCATCTAATATTGCAATCTTTGCTACAATTAAGAATTAAATATTTTATGTTCTGAATGGTATAAAAGAATAAAAGTTTTTTGAATGATAATTTCACATAAGTTACAAAAATGTAATAATGTTACTAAGATATAAGTGTGAAAGCAGTTATTTATGTTGAAACTATTGTTACAAGTGGCAAGTAACTATATAACTAAGTTCAAAGTACAACTGTATTTCAGTTCATTCAAGCTAACAATTAAAATACAATAATTTAAATTTCTCTCATATAACTGTAAATGTTACTTTTTAATCACCAAACACTGTTTTTAAGAACATGTCAAATAGACTTGCTTTACATATGAGCATCAGGAAAGCCACATGATCAAGTAATGTATTTTATAGTTGAACTTACTTCTAGTATTCAAGCGTCTCTGTAAGCAGGCATATATCCAGGATAAGTAAAAGGCCTGTTTAAATTAACCTTAGAGCATATGTCTTTATTTTCATAAGTCAAGCTTTTCTGATTGTAATAACTATTTAGAAACTGCTTTTGTAAGGTTCAGAGTTTTGTGTTAAACAGATCTCAAGCCAAGAATACAGAATTACTTCTTGCCTCCAGTGCTATAGCAAATCACCATTATTACAATTTCCTGTTGATAGGAAGGGAAAGCAGATGGTTTTCTCTAAAACTGTATTCTGAAAATAAGCAGAAAAATACATGTTGGAACTTTGTAGCCTTGCTACAAGCCAACGCAATGCTTTGTCAAACTTTCCAGTAATCCCTAAATGAAACTGTAAATACTCTGGGAGGAGATTTTTATTTTATCTAGTGCAGTTTTATCTTGGATCTTGCAGTGTCCTCTTGTCATATGTTTGACGAAATGTGCAAACTTTCTCGATTGTGCTACTGTAAGATATGCAGTTTTCCCGTTCTTCCTGTGGCCTCCTCTTTGTGAATCTGTTCTTTACACAAAGCTTTACATCTCTATGTTCAGTAAAGAAAAATGCTGCATGATGGGTGTGATGGAAAAGCATTTGATTCTACCAAGGCCTACCTTCAGCTCCCCTGCATCTCGGTAAAACTGTAGTAATTGCTCTGTACCGACGGTTTGGGGGAATAGCAAGTATGATTGTGCTTGGAAAAGCTAATTAAATAAAAAGCAGTGTTTGTTCACTACAAAAGAAGCACACTGGCATGATTTCTCTACAACTGACAAAGTGAACCAGCCACTCACATTCTAGAATCTTCTCTCCTTAGCCAGGAAAAGACTAATGATGTGTTGCGGCTTCCAGCTGTGCCAGGAAGCAGCATTTAGAACCTCTTCCCCTGTGTTCTGGCTTACCTCGGAACAATGGTTATTTTTACTTAATCTGTATGGGGAGCTTTTACTTGGGTCCAGGGTTCTTAAAGTTGAACCGGCAGCTTCAGCACCACCTAGGAACTTTTTAGAAATGCACTTGATAGCACTTGATAGCCCCTCGCCAGAACTTCATAATCAGGAAAGCTGAGCAGAGCTGGATGCAACAATCTGTGCTCTAAGTAGACTTCCTGGTAACTGATACACACTAAAGGCTGAAAATCACTGTGGGTAGCACCATTGTTATTCATCAAGGCTCCTGAATCCAGATTCCTACCTATGTTCTTACCACATTGCAGCAGACCTTCTATTCCCTCCACCCCCAACAGCGCATCATGGAAACTCCTTCTGGACCCAATCATTTGCACTTGAGGTGACTGATAGGGGTGAAATCTCTTTTGCACGCAGAGCAGGACCTGGCACCTGTGCCTAGACCCCATCCTCCTCGGAAACAGAAGCCAGAGTATCTGGACCCGTCTCTGAATGCTGAGCGCCATACTGCACACGACCGCAAGAGCACTGTGTTTCTACTCCTCAGCCGCTGGTGGCGAGACGAGACCCCGGCTTGAGGGGTCTGGATTACCTGCACTAGCGTCATCTGCGAGCCGAGGGCCAACAATATCTTCTCCGTCTTCGTGGGGTACGGGTTGTCCCGGTGCTTATACAGCCACTGCTTAAGAGGCCTTGCCATGTCTTGCAGGGCCTGTCGCTTGTGCCTCACCTTCCCTCCATTCTGCCGGGCCCTGAGTCATGAGGAAAGGAGAGGGATGTGTTAGTGACACCTTTTGGGTGGCCTGAAGGATCTCCATGATAGGTCATATTTCTGTGATGTCAGCACCCAGCCTGGGCTTAACTGAACCCCACCCCCATCAACCCAGGGTGTCTATCCTTATGCACCTCAACTCTGAGAGCCCCCAGTTGGGGCAAAGCAAGAAAAGGAAACCCCACGACTTCTCGGTGGGAGCACAGATTCCTGTGCATCTCCCTGAATAGCCCTGCCCTGTGCCAGTGAGCCCTTACATTTATGTTGAGGGGGGCTATGTTGATCCCAATAAGGCAGTGCTGCTGGGGTTGGGACAAATGCCACGTGGTTGGAAAAGTGTTCTCTAGACTGCAGACCTGGACCCAGAGCTAACCGATTCCCTTGGTTCCCCCCCACCCCCAGGCCATTGAATGGCCCTGGCCTCGGGAGGAGGGCCGGACCTCCAAGTTCTCTTGCTCAGGTTCTGGGACTGCAGGTCTCCAGTGGTCAGGGAACACGTACTGGACCACAGAAACAGAGCAAAGTATGATGGGGTCAGGGAACACATACTGGACCGCAAAGACAAAGCAAAGTATGATGGCTGCCTAGGTTCTCCGAAGTCTCTCATTTCATTTGATGCTCTTGCGGGGAGCTGGGAAAAATTGCAGACCCTACAAAGCAGCCTAGGGCCTCTTTCTCTCTTTGGAAAGAGGGAAAAGTGTGAAACGTCGTCCCAGCAGGTAAAGGTTTGTAAAAGACCTCAAGAAAGCCTACTTCCAGGAGGAGCAGGCAAAGAAGTCTTCACTCTAGAGCGGGTGTGGGGTGATGCGCTCCCGAGAGGCTCCGGGAGGTGTCGCCCCGCAACCGCCAGCGCTCCCAGCCCCAGTCCCCGTTCGTGCGCCTGCGCCCCTGCCTGCCGGGAGTCAGCTTCTTCGAACTCTTTGAAATGCAATTCCATCCGCGCTGACTGGTTGTTACAGTTTGGGGAAGCCTAATCTCTATTACAAAGCATCAGTGCGGCAAAACAAGCAGCTTGTACTGTGGTTCCGGAGGAGGCGGGCCTCTCTAGGAGCCATGAGGACCAGGCCCAGCGCACACTGCCCTGCATGCCCCGGGACTGGAGCCGATGGCTCACCCCAGAGCTCCCGGGCTACGACAGGCCGCTTACCCCCAGAAACCGAAAGCCAGCAGGTCCGCCTCCTCCTCCGGGCTCGCCGCGGGCCCCGCCGAGCTGTGAGCGCCAGGGACGCCTTACGGGAACCGACCTAGTCCAGGCCAAGGGAACCCCGAGGCCAATGTGAGATCCTCCGGCCACGGAAGAGGAAGCCCCGGAGGCCTTACCTGGGAACCCTCTGTTTGATTTTACCCTGTCACAGCGCACAGCGCTCAATCTGCACCGCCCCCCCGCGATAGGAAGAGAAAGCAAGTAACTACGCCTAACTACACAGGGTCCCCGAATCCTAGGGGAGGACTGGGCGCCAACTCCATTTCCACCAAAACTTTTTTGAACTGTTCTAAGGAATTAATCCCTCCAGCTTTGAGAAGGTAAATCCTTAAGAACCGGGCTTGCCAGTCCAGGAGGCTTAGATGTGTCCTCCTGGAGGAAGCTGCGGACTCCCGGTCCTCAGATTTTAGTTTGCACTTCACATCCCCTCCCCACAACTCGCTGCCCCTACCCCTCCGGACTCCCGGGTGGGCACTGGCCCCAGGGTGTGAGCATACCCGGTCCTTCGGTGTCTTAGGCTGAGGTTGTCCTTGAGGGGCGGGCCATCTGGAATGCCCACCTCCGGGCGTGTGTGTGGATTGTCCAGAACGCCACCGTATGGCCGGCTGCCACGTTCCCGCTCTGAGGTGCCTCGGTCCTCAAAAAGCACGGCTCCCCAAGCTTGTTGAAGACGATGGTGTTCATGATGCGCGCTGGCAGGGACGCGCGGCCTCGCTACAGCGCCTCGAAGCCGGGCCCCCAGGAGCTCCGCAGCAGGGCTCGGGTTCTAGAAGATCAAAGAGCATTACGTTACTTCCGACTGTACCCAGGTTTCTGCAGCTCAGGAGCCCGGAACTTGGTGGGGGCTGTGGGGCAGCTGAGCTGATGACCAGGGTTGTATTGCTCCCGGTAGACCAGTGAATACTCTTCTTCAACACCTAGCGACCCACACATTCACACAACACTCCTGGGACAGATCCCTGCCCTTCTCCTCCCGGCAATCAAGCTCCCCCACTCTAGGAACTTCAAACAGAAATAATGTACCTATTGAGGTAAAGAAAGCGATTTCCAAACGAACTTTCCCGTCTCTAAGAAAGACACAATTAGGGCTGAGAAGCAAAATAAATAAGCAAGGGACATGTTCGTTAAGCACCACACACGAGAATAAAGCTTCTAGGGTAATCAGGAGGAGTTGGAAGGAGGAGACGACGATTTGGGGTAACATGGATAATTGCATCCACAAAGGCGGGTCAGTGAGTCCTAGGTCTTGGTGTCAAGGGATGTTCACGTTTTCTGAATCCTGGACCACATGGTAGAAACTCCTGCTTCTTTAGGTTACAGTCTACCGCTGGGATAAGGACAGCAGGGGAAGTTACCAGTAGAGCCCCAAACCTGAAAATTAAGTGGTCTCAGGACAAATGTCTCACACATTCCCTAATCTTTCTGCGGAGCTCAAAGCAAAGGCACATCGTACTGGGTCCCTGGGGGTTACAGTCCTCAGGAAGTGGAGCCCTTTTCAGAAGCCTGAAGGCTCCTATCAGGCAGTGACCCTCACACCTTTCAGACTACCCACTGGACTCCAGGACAGCCCGCAGCTCACCTCTGAAGTTGGAGCGCCTGGAGGCCTCAGCCCGCCAGGTATGGACATCCGGAGCAAGGCCGCATGGCCGCAGAAAAGTCGCAATATTGCCACGAAATCAGGACCATGCCCACCGGCCAAATCTCCCCCCACCCTCCCGGAACTCCCGGTAGCTCAATGGTAGCTCAGTCTACTCTGAGCCTTTCACACAGCGCGGCCAGCAGCCCCTTCAATGCACACATCCTGCACAGCGCCCACACTCGCCAACGCCCCCTGCCCCGCCCTCTACTGTCACCGCAGTGGCAGCCACGCGCGACATTTAGGAAAATCCACAGCTACTAAGCGATGGCCGCTGTCCTCATTGGTATGGAAAGTGAAGTCAGACCTCTGTTGGCCGCTGCGTTGCGCCCTAGGGCTGAATCCTGAGCAGACAGGTACTGGTCTCAGCGATAAGTGTCAGATAAGTGTCAAAGCAAGTTTGTGAGCCCAGCGCCTGCTTACCGACGATGGTGATCACGCTTCTTTGCTGCTGCAAGCATCCTTCCCCCTCACATTCCACCTCCTTCCACACAGCCCGGTCCTAGACGCAGCAGCGCCTTTTCCCTAGCAAAGCCATGGTGGGGTTACCACCTAGAACCTTTCCCACAGACTGCAAACACCGCCATGGGCCAGGTATGTGACTGCAGGAGCAGTGACCAGAGATTGGCACTTGTCCGAAAACTCGGACCATTACAATGGGTCGGGCATGGGGCGTGGGGGCAGTTAGGACCTATGGTTCCTAATTCATCCTGGCTCCGGTGAAAGGTACCCAGCACCCCATCTTTGCTCTTGTGCTCTGCACTTTACCCGGTTTGGCGCCTAGCTGTGCTGGGGAGCGCGCTCCCTGCGGAACTGCCCCTCGGATAATTAGAAAGCAAAGCAAGGCCAGGTGGGCTGCCAGCTGGTTTCCCAGATCCTCCCTCCAGCCTTGACCAACACCCAGGAGCTCCCCCTCTAGACCTCAGACAGAGATGGGGGAGGGGAGAGAAGAGCCCCGGCATTCAGAGAGCTGGGGAGCAGCTGTGCAGCGGCCTGAGCGAACCTGGGGTTCGGCCCTCGGGGGAGGGGACCCAGGACTGTACCTGTGGTCGCGGGGCCCGCAGCCAGCGGCTGGCTGTCCCTCCTCGGGGTTAGGCACACTCCCATCCCCGCCGCATGTTCTCGGCGCAGGCTCCGACGCGCTCACCGCCACCACCGCCGTCGTCTCGGCTTTATTTACCCAGACGGCGCGCGCGGCCCGGGACCCGGAATTCCGAGGCCTTCTCATGTTTCCTGACTGCCTGGCCCAGCCCGCGAACATCTCGTGGGCGCGGTATCCATGTTCCCGGGCGGCAGGAGAGGAAGCGATCGCGACCGCCGGGCCGCAGGAGCTGCCGCGGGCCGCGCCCCGGAGCCCCGGGCGGCAGCATTCTCCCAGCGGGGCGCCGTTCCCCTCTCTCCGCCTCGCAGTACTGAGCAAAGCAGGCTTTTTCCTTCGCACTAAGGGGAATAGTAATCCAAGAAGTCGCTCGAAGCCTGGGGCTTTGCGGTGTAAATCCCGTGTCTTAGTTGCTCCGAGTGCCGGAAATGTCACCATGCATGGCTGGATGCGGAGACGCACCATGTGTTTTCCTCCTGATTAGCTGGGGATTAGAGCTTCTTGCAGCGGCAATTCCTTTTGGTGTCCTTGGGCTGGCCAGTGAAGTCCAGACTGTGGAGGTCAAGGCCAGGCAAGCGCTCTTCCCAAGACAAGCACTAAAGAGGTAGGGATGCAGAAAGACGGTGGGGCGAGGCATCCTCAGGAGCCGGTGCTGGGTAGTCAGGTGTGCAGGAGACCTAGCTCGGGGAGGTTACAATCTACATGCATCCTACGGTTGGAACCTGAAGGCATTTGGAGTAAGGAGAAAGAGTGGCTACCACATGCTCTAAGCGGTGCTTTGTAATCCACCGAAGACTGAGCAGAACTTGTGGCAGCTTAAAGTGATCCCGAGGTGGAGCACCAATTCTCTCCTGGTCGGGTGGCTAGGCCCTGCTGCTCTTGCTACCTTCTAACTCTTTTAAGAGCTAAAGCAGACTTTTAAAAACCTGACAGAATTAGTATCATTTAGACCTTTCTCCCTAAATGACGATCATGTAGTGCTGAGTCCCACATAAGAGTCCGCCTAGAAGTGGCTAATGTATGTAATAAAGCTGGCATTTCCAGGACCAATCGCACCCTGGATTCTTCAAAGTTGCTATCTCCTCAATTAGTGGCCTGAAACCCAGCATGGCACAATCTAAATCAGAAAGGAGGGAGGCTCTTCATTTTTGCGCGCCAGGTCATGCGCACTATAGTTTGATCGCATTTTGTGCTGTTCCTGGAGTTCTGTTATATAATGATCCTTGGTCGCACTGCATCCCTCTTTTGAGCTGCGTTTGTGCAGTAGGTTGAGGATATAGTCTCTGGTCCACCGAGGCCACTGCAGCGACTTAAACCACAGGGAACTCTTCGAGTTTGCACCACTGCTTTTCTGCCGGCAGGTTTCACAGCAGAGGCAGGCACAGCTGACAATCCATAGGAAGAAAGAGCTGTTATCTTCCGCGGTCTCTGTGTGAAGACAGTAGGTGCACTGGGATGAACTCAGTTGCAACCTTCCCTTCTGTCCTATGCTCTCTCCAGCCGCCCTTCCCTAGGGCAAAGCAGCAATCGCGAATGTGATTTGTGATTATAACGTAATAATATTCTACTGTTTTTCGGAGCTGTGTGTTACAGTAATGTTACTGTAGCACAAAGCAAAGCAAATTTTGCGAGGGTTTTTTTCTTTGCATTTCATGTATTTATGTGCATTTTAAAAATCCAGAGGAACTTCACGATACATTGGCAAGTTAGTCCTTCCCCCATGTAATATACAGAATTAAAAATTAATTATTTTATTTGTCACACACACCTTCGTCTCACGTGGGATCACTGAAAATGGATATATCACATATCCATTGGATTGGGGCTTAATGATTAGGGTCTATTTTTCAGTGGAGGGGCATAGAGGGCCCTTGTTAAAAATGAAAGTGCCCTCGGGAGTAGTTCGCAGGCAGCATTCCAGGTTGCAGCCTGTGTACCAGAGGGAAGTGTGTTCCTTCACAACAGCCCAGACACCTTTATTGCATCATAAGAAAATTTGCCTTTTCCTAAATTGATTTTTACCCAGACTCTCGCATTGTTTACCACTCCCTGTCTATGAAGTGCTGTATTGTCATCCTCAGATGTAAACTTGCCTTTTTGGACAACTGTTGAGAGAGAAAGATGCACACATGGAAGGTGTCCTATGCTGGAGGAAACCAACCCCCAGCTCAGAATCTGGTTAATTTGATGCTGCTTTAGTCTGAATTTACTAACCTGTAAAATAATAATATGTTTCCCATAAACTTGCCTTACATTATTTTTATGGTTTTTATGGTGTTTTTTTAATGTGAAAGTAACATATTGCCATTTCTGAAGCTAGAAAGATGTTTAAGGACATTGGGCAAAATTTTAATCTGTTTTATTTAATTTAGGATATAAATATAGATATATGCTAACTTTCACCTTTCTCTCACTCTTACTCTGTCTCTGTGTGTGTGTGTGTGTGTTGCTTTTGGTGTTTTGATATTTTTACCAAGGCATCTTGACGTTTCAGAATTATCATTGGTCAGGGTGCTTGGGGAGAAAAATGTGTTTTTAAGCTCACTCTCCCACTTTAATGCTAATGAGCAGAGAGTGAGCAAATGGTATTTTTGCTCAGATGTTCTGAGATAGCAGGAGTATGAGCAATGACTGAGCTCACTTCACAGTTAGCCAAACTGACTGCAGACCTGGAGATTGGTTCAATGGAAGCCCTAAAAATCTCTCTTGAAACCCAGAGGGTTTGGGCATAAAACTTGAAAAAGCCTGATGTAAGAAGTGAAAATACTGTTTTTCAATCAGGCTCAAATTTCTGAAATTATGTTCTCTTTTTGCATGTTTTTGGGAAGGATGTTAGTAATATGGTTACAAAATCTTTAGCAGACACTTAAAGTGGTCATTCTATCATCTTCACGTTCCCCCATGCCTGAGCACAGATGCATTTTATTTGTGTGTGTGTGTGTGTGTGTGTGTGTGTGTGTGTGTGTGTGTGTAGTGAATGTATACCACATGAGTGAGGATGCCATGGAAGCCAGAGGACTCCCTGTATCTGGAAGTCACTCAGCATAAGTGCTGGGGACTGAACTTAGGTTCTTCTGAAATGGGCACTCCTAACCACTGAGTCATGTCTCCAGCCCCACTACACTTCCTTTTAATACTATTAAAACTTGTCCACACTTGGCTCTTCAGTTCCTCTGAAACTTAATTTTCTTGTGAGATAAGATGTAAATTGGGTGTTAAAAGTTTTCAGCTGAGTAGCTGATTAGCCCATGGAATTTAATAGGTAATTTCTCCCTGCTAATTTGAAGTAACTTTTCTGTTTCTGGGAAATCCTGTTCCAGGTGTAGGCGGTTCTAGCAAGAATGACCAGGGTGCGTACATCCAGGAATAAAAATCACAGACTGTATATGCATACATCCAGGGAAAGCACACACACACACACACACACACACACACACACACACACACACACACACACCTGTTTTGGCTCCTGAGAATTGCTTTAACATTTTTACGTAGTTGGAAAAACTGTATTTGTAGCATGGGAAAATTGCATGAAATTCAATTTTGAGTGTCCATTTAAATAAAAAGTTGCATTCCTACTTTTTTAAGAATTAAAACGCATTTTACTTGATAGCACAGGTTCTTTTCAGAAGCAAAATCTCACAATGATGGGTAGACTTTTAAGTCACCAGTAACTGGAAACAGCAATTTTCTCAGTTGTTGTTAAATGCATCTTTACCTGAAGGGGGCAGATGAGGAGTGTTCTCTATGTTCTCTGTTTTGTTTTTAAATATCTGTAAGTTAGGTTTCTGCTCAAAGTCAGGTCTTAAGAGGATGCAGGGGTTGATGGTGTGTCAAGCTGAAACTTGGGAGATAAAGTATTTGTGAACATTATAAGGTTGCCTAGCAATGGGGGGCTATGTAACAGGAGGTCTGCATCTTAACCATGCTACTTTGGCTTTTATTGTATAGCCATGAAACAACCAGAGCCAGGTGTAGTAGCATACTTCTGTCATCCCAGAACTCATCAGACTCTACAGGAACTCTGCTCCAGGGAGTATACCTGTTTATGTTTGTTTATTTGCTTTTCTCGAAGTGTAGCCCAACAAGGTTGACACTAGGTAGGCCATGCTGGGACTGAAGTTGTGTGACCTAGGCCTTTTCAGTCCTGGGATTAGAGGTGAGAGCAGCCACACCTGGTTTTTAAAGATAATCTGTTTAAAGTCATTACAAACGACTGCAGTAATCCACCACAGTGACAGAATGATCTAAAACTCTAGCCTCAATGAGCTCCCACCTCAAACCTGGAATTCTTTTAGTTTCTTAATAAGTGGGTGTATTTTTTAATGCTATAAAAGCCATATGTGTTAGTGAGAAAACTGAAAATTAGGGAAGCAAAAGAAAAAAATCTCTTTTCCCACTACCCAGAGATCATCTGTTAATACGATTTTGATCATCCTTTCATGTTATTCAAATAAGACTCAGGTATTTGATCAATATTTTTCTAAATTAATGATCTTCTCTTTCAAAAATGAAGCTTTTCGTGGAGAGGCAGAGGCAGGGTCTTACACAGCTCAGGCTGGCCTTGAACTCACTATGTAGCTAAGGATGACCTGAAACTCCAGGTTGTTTGCCTCAGTCTCCCGTGTGCTGGGATTGCAGGTGTGTGCCACAAGCCTGGGTTCAGTCAAGCTTTGTAAAAAGACTTATCTTTGTTGTCCATCCACATTCAAAATCCCCAATTATTCCCCAAGTACCTTTATGGCTAGTCTCTCCACAGGATAGTCAAAATCAGGGCCATACTTCAGATATGACTGTCTCTCTGTTTGGAAGCCAGCAATATCTGTAAGGTTTTCCCATCACACACATAGTTACTGCATCCACAGGCCAGAGGCCCACCGGAATAACTCCCCTTCTTAATTTCTTTCAGGGCACTCTGTTCCTTCCATTTGACTCTTGCACTTCCCCTCTATTTTTTTACACACTACAAGTTAGACCTAAAATTTGCTCAATTCACATTAAGCATTTTAGCAGGCCACATCACAGGGGAAAGTTTTCATCTCATTGTCTGTCACAGTGGGAGACCCAGTATTTA